TGTTCTTCCTGGGCCCTGTATCTTGTAAACCTGCGGTCCTGTTCCTGACCCGGCTTGATCCTGACCTCTGCTGACTTCTCCTGTTCTGATCCCTGGCTTGTTTGACCATTCTCCTCTGCCTGACCCTCTGTACCATGCTGCCTGCTACCTGCTGAACCTGGCCTGTGACCCCGACCATTCTCCGCTTGCTCCCCCTGTACCTACCTGCCCGATTGATATTGACCCGGCCTGCCTGACGACGCTTGCACTGTATGTTCTGTTATCTGTGGGTGGTTGGGTTGGTTTGTTTGCACCGTATTATGTTTTAGTATTGCACTGCGTTTATGTTTGTATTGTTAGTGTTAGTAAATTATATTGTTTATAACATATCTGAGGTCTGCGTTTCCCTGCGTCAGTCACACACCTCTGGTCACACCCCGAAGCCCTGACATTACACCAAGGCCAATCCTGACCAGAAGTGGCTGCACAGGGAAGCCATCTTGGCTTGTTGCTGGGAAGGATGGATCTTGATGAGGTTGTGTATTTGTCGCTGCTGGTTTTTGATGACAGGGAGTATGCTTATCAGACTCTGAGGGAGTATCCCCGGGATGAACTGCTAGAATGTATACGGCTCGCTCATGTTCTAGTAGATCAGGGCACAGAGTTCTCTGAGGTGCAGCCTTTGATTGAGGTTTGTGCTGAGTTGGTTTCATCTGGTTCCCCCGAATGCAGGGATGAATTTTTGCCACCATTTAGTGCAGACCAGGTAGAGTCCCTGGGTGGTTATTAGAGGATGATGTGGGTTACTTTCTGGAGCGTTATTCCACATGTTCACCACAGACACTGAGAGATTGTATAAACGCAGTGCAGTCATTGACCAGACAGGCTTTGTGTAAGCTGAGCTTTGTTCAACCCATACTGCAGACATGGACAGACTTGTTGCACCCAGCCTCAGTCAGCTTACAAAGACCCAGTCCTGCTTCTAACTCTACTCCTGTATTCCCACCAGCTCCTCCAGTTACAGCTCAGTATACTTGGCTATCTACCGCATGTCAGTCCCCTGTTCCCACTCGCTGCACCTATCCTGCCTTTAACCCTGTAAAAAAGCCCTCTGTAGCAACTGCTCCCTCTCCTGTTCCATCCTCCAGTTCTTCTCTGTCTCCAGCTGCTCCATTCGTTTGCAGACCTGCGTTTACTTGCAGTGCTCCAGTAGTTAAAACCAGAAAAAAAGCGAAAATTCTTTCCAACCAATACCATCCTGCCAGTATCCAAACCGGTGAGCCTGCCTTCCGTGGTTCAGCCTGGTGCCTGTCTTCAGCTGATGCCTCTCTTCAGCCGGATGCCTCTCTTCAGCCTGAATCCTCTACTCAGCCTGATGCCTCTCTTCAGCCTGAATCCTCTACTCAGCATGATGAACTAATCCAGCCTGACGATCCTATTAGGCCAGTTGACTCGATGCCCGCTGTTGATCCAGATGATCCGGTACCTGATCCGGTGCCCGCAGTCTTGCCAGACGACTCGGTGCCCGCTGTTCCGCCAGTTGACTCGGAGCCCACTGTCGTGCCTGGTGACTCGGTGCCCACCGCTCCACCTGGGGGCCTGAGACCTGTCGCTCCGCCTGGGGGCCTGAGACCTGTCGCTCCGCCTGGGGGTCCGGCGCCCGCCACTACTCCGCCTGGGGGCCCGAGACCTGTCGCTCCGCCTGGGGATCCGGTGCCCGGCGCTCCGCCTGGGGGCCCGAGACCTGTCGCTCCGCCTGGGGGTCCGGCGCCCGCCGCTCTGCCTGGGGGCCCGAGACCTGTCGCTCCGCCTGGGGGTCCGGCGCCCGCCGCTCCGCTCGGGGGCCCGATTGCCTGTCGCCCCGCCTGGGGGCCCGAAGCCTGTCACCCCTCCTGGGGGCCCGATGCCTGTCGCCCCTCCTGGGGGCCCGATGCCTGTCGCCCCTCCTGGGGGCCCGGCGCCCGCCGCTCCGCTTGGGGGGCCCGATGCCTGTCGCCCCGCCGGGGGGCCCGATGCCTGTCGCCCCGCCGGGGGGCCCGATGCCTGTCGCCCCGCCTGGGGGCCCAATGCCTGTCGCCCCTCCTGGGGGGGCCCGGCGCCCGCCGCTCCGCTTGGGGGGCCCAATGCCTGTCGCCCCGCCGGGGTCCCGGTGCCTGTCGCCCCCAGGGGGCCCGGTGCCTGTCGCCCCGCCTGGGGGCCCGGTGCCTGCTGCTCCGCCTGGTGGCCCGCTGCCTGCTGCTTCGCCTGGTAATCCGATGTGCCTCTGCCCGGAGTCCAGCCCGATGTGCCTCTGCCCGGAGTCCAGCCCGATGTGCCTCTGCCCAGAGTCCAGCCCGATGTGCCTCTGCCCGGAGTCCAGCCCAATGTGCCTCTGCCCGAAGTCCAGCCCAATGTGCCTCTGCCCAGAGTCCAGCCCGATGTGCCTCTGCCCGGAGTCCAGCCCGATGTGCCTCTGCCCGGGGTGCCCCTGCCCGGTGTACCGCTGCCCGGAGTCCTGCCCGGTGTGCCAGTCTTTGATATCCCGCCAGTTACCAGACCCGGGCGGTGGAACATTTTGCACAGCTAGGACTGTTTGGAGCGTCCTGAGGCTGCTCCTTGAGGGGGGGGTACTGTCAGGAATGGACTGGCCAGCAATAGTGGGACTCACCTGCCTTGTGAGCTGCAGTACCAGGGCTGGCCAGCGGATGCTCCCAGCAATCAGAGACTCAACCTTGCAGCCAGTCAAACACCTGGAACTGATTATACTGGTGTATTTAAGGGACATTCAGACCTGAAGACTGCCTTGGTGTTGTGTTTTTTCCTGGGCCCTGTATCTTGTAAACCTGCGTTCCTGTTCCTGTTCCTGTCTTGTTGCTGACCCTGCTTGATTCTGACCTCTGCTGACTTCTCCTGTTCTGATCCCTGGCTTGTGACCCTGACCACCCCTCTGCCTGACCCTCTGTACCGCGCTGCCCGCTACCTGCTGAACCTGGCCTGTGACCCCGACCATTCTCCGCTTGCTCCCCCTGTACCTACCTGCCCGATTGATATTGACCCGGCCTGCCTGACGACGCTTGCATTGTATGTACTGTTATCTGTGGGTGGTTGTTGGTTTGGTTTGTTTGCACTGTATTATGTTTTAGTATTGCACTGCGTTTATGTTTGTATTGTTAGTGTTAATAAATTATATTGTTTATAACATATCTGAAGTCTGCGTTTCCCTGCGTCAGTCACATACCTCTGGTCATACCCGGGAGCCCTGACAAGACCCCTGAACAATATAACCTCCCCCCAGCAACAATAGACCCCTGAACAATATAACCCCCCAGCAACAATAGACCCCTAAACAATATAACCCCCCAGCAACAATAGACCCCTAAACAATATAACCCCCCAGCAACAATAGACCCCTGAACAATATAACCCCCCAGCAACAATAGACCCCCTGAACAATATAACCCCCCAGCAACAATAGACCCCTGGCAGCAACAACAGATTTCACAGCAGCCCCCATCAATAGACTCTTCAGCACCTGGAACAATAGACCCCTCCCTCAACAGTAGATCCCTTTCAGCAACAATAGATTGCCATGCAAAAATAGATACCCTCCAGCAACAATATATCTCTGAGGAACGTTTTTCCGACACCTTGTTGGATCCAGGCCACCAAAAATGAAGGCAAAAGGGGGTCCAACCCGGACGAGCAAGGGGGACCTCATAAAGTGGCCGGTGAGTGCATTTATATATATATATCTCAGAAGAAAAAATCCCAAAAAGGCGATAGAACAATATTCTCTTGACAAAGGTCCAATTTTTGAGCCTTCCATCCAAAGGCTTTATCTGGAGTTGGGCTTTAACTTGTTGTTATTTGTGTTTGATGCAGAAACGAGTGACTCCCACCCAGCGTGTTCCGTGCAGCAGGCGGTTTGTTTTGTGTTTAATGCGTTCCGGAGGGAGAAGCGCCTTTGTCTTGCATTAAATGCCTCCCCGGAGCCCATCGGCTCATTCGGAGAGCGTTGCGCCGGGTGACTATGCAAAATTTATTTTTAGCAGTTAGACGGTCACTTTGTTTCCGCATTCTGTTGTTCAGTAGACATTCACTGAAGGACAAATTTAATGGCTTTCATAATATTTTTTGTCTCAGCAGAGCTCTGATTGGATGCAAATAAAAAAAAAAAAACAAAAGAGAGATGGAAGAGAGCAGAAATAAATAGGATGGTTGGAAAGAAAACAACAAAACTATTGAAATGCTAGAAGGCGGCCTGAGGAATGTCTTCACTCAACGGCTGCGGGATGACCACCAGTTGTGTGAGGCCATCATTCTCTCACCTTCTTACCATGAAAGAACCCTCGAAATAATGGGGGGGTCCGGGAACTACTGAGAAAAAAAGTACTATAACTCCGGATTATTGTACTTCAGTCAAACCACATTGGTGGTCAATAGGAAAAAAGGGGCCCCTTATACTGGTGGTCAATGGGAAGAATGTCCCTTACATTGGGGGTCAGTGGGAAGAAATGTCCCTTACATTGGTGGTCAGTGGGAAGAATGTCCCTTACATTGAAGGTCAGTGGGAAGAATGTCCCTTACATTGGTGGTCAGTGGGAAGAACGTCCCTTACATTGGGGGTCAGTGGGAAGAACGTCCCTTACATTGGGGGTCAGTGGGAAGAACGTCCCTTTACATTGGAGGTCAGTGGGAAGAATGTCCCTTACATTGGGGGTCAGTGGGAAGAATGTCCCTTACATTGGGGGTCAGTGGGAAGAATGTCCCTTACATTGGGGGTCAGTGGAAGAATGTCCCTTACATTGGGGGTCAGTGGGAAGAATGTCCCTTACATTGGGGGGTCAGTGGGAAGAATGTCCCTTACATTGGGGGTCGGTGGGAAGAATGGCCCCTTACATTGGGGGTCGGTGGGAAGAATGTCCCTTACATTGGGGGTCGGTGGGAAGAATGTCCTTACATTGGGGGTCGGTGGGAAGAATGTCCCTTACATTGGGGGTCGGTGGGAAGAATGTCCCTTACATTGGGGTCAGTTGGGAAGAATGTCCCTTACATTGGGGGTCAGTGGGAAGAATGTCCCTTACATTGGGGGTCAGTGGGAAGAATGTCCCTTACATTGGGGGTCAGTGGGAAGAATGTCCCTTACATTGGGGGTCATGGGAAGAATGTCCCTTACATTGGGGGTCAGTGGGAAGAATGCCCCCTTACATTGGGGGTCAGTGGGAAGAATGCCCCTTACATTGGTGGTCAGTGGGAAGAATGTCCCTTACATTGGGGGTCAGTGGGAAGAATGTCCCTTACATTGGGGGTCAGTGGGAAGAATGTCCCTTACATTGGTGGTCAGTGGGGAAGAATGTCCCTTACATTGGAGGTCAGTGGGAAGAATGTCCCTTACATTGGAGGTCAGTGGAAGAATGTCCCTTACATTGGGGGTCAGTGGGAAGAATGTCCCTTACATTGGGGTCAGTGGGAAGAATGTCCCTTACATTGGGGGTCAGTGGGAGGAATGTCCCTTACATTGGGGGTCGCGGTTCAGTGGGAAGAAATGCCCCTTACATGGGGGGAGGCACAGTGGGAAGAATGTCCTTGCATTGGTGGTCTCAGGTGGGATGAATGTCCCTGTATTGGTGGGCTCAGTGATGTGAAGGTCATGGTCCTTTTCATTGGCAGAAGACATGTCCCTTACATTGGTGGTGTCAGTGGAAGAATGTCCCTTACATTGGGGGTCAGTGGGAAGAATGTGCCCTTCGTGTCCCTCTACATTGGTGGATCAGTGGGAAGAATTAATGGGGGTCCCTTACATTGGTGATCAGATGGACCAGAAGAATGAAAGCGGGTCTGTCAGAGATTACATATACATCATGGGGGTCAGTGGGAAGAATTGGAGAGTCAGTGGGAAGACCCTTACATTGGAGGTCAGTGGGGAAGAATGTCCCTTACATTGGGGGGTCAGTGGGGCTAAGAATGGAGGTCCCTTACATTGGGGGTCAGTGGGAAGAATGTCCCTTACATTGGTGATGCACAGTGGAAGAATGTCCCTTACATTGGGGTCAAGTGGAAGTAATGTCCCTTACATTGGGGGGTCAGTGGGGAAGAACGTCCCCTTACATTGTCAGGTGGTCCAGTGGGAAGAAACGTCCCCTTACATTGGGGGTCAGTGGGGAAGAACGTCCCTTACATTGGGGGTCAGTGGGGAAGAACGTCCACTTACATTGGAGGTCAGTGGGAAGAATGTCCCCAGCCTACATTGGGGGAGAAATCAGTGGGAAGAATGTCCCTTACATTGGGGGTCAGTGGGAAGAATGTCCCTTACATTGGGGTCAGTGGGAAGAATGTCCCTTACATTGGGGGGGTCAGTGGAAGAATGTCCCTTACATTGGGGGTCGGATGGGAAGAATGTCCCTTACATTGGGGTGTCGGTGGGAAGAATGCCCCTTACATTGAGGGGTCGGTGGGGAAGAAAGTGTCCCCTTACATTTGGGGGTCGGTGGGAAGAATGTCCCTTACATTGGGGCGGTCGGTGGGAAGAATGTCTCCCTTACATTAGTGGGGTCGGTGGGAAGAATGTCCCTTAACATTGGGGTCAGTAGGAAGAATGTCCCTTACATTGGGGGTCAGTGGGAAAATGTCCCATACATTGGGGGTCAGTGGGAAGAATGTCCCTTACATTGGGGGTCAGTGGAAGAATGTCCCTTACATTGGGGGTCAGTGGGAAGAATGTCCCCTTACATTGGGGTCAGGTGGAGAGAATGCCCCTTACATTGGGGGTCAGTGGAAGAAATGCCCCTTACATTGGTGGTCAGTGGGAAGAATGTCCCTTACATTGGGGGTCAGTGGGAAGAATGTCCCCTTACATTGGGGGTCAGTGGGAAGAATGTCCCTTACATTGGTGGTCAGTGGGAAAAGAATGTCCCTTACATTGGAGGTCAGTGGGAAGAATGTCCCTTACATTGGAGGTCAGTGGGAAGAATGTCCCCTTACATTGGGTGGGTCAGTGGGAAGAATGTCCCTTACATTGGGGGTCAGTGGGAAGAAATGTCCCTTACATTGGGGGTCAGTGGGAGGAATGTCCCTTACATTGGGGTCAGCTGGGGAAGAATGCCCCTTACATTGGGGGTCAGTGGGAAGAATGTCCCTTACATTGGTGGTCAGTGGGAAGAATGTCCCTTACATTGGTGGTCAGTGGGAAGAATGTCCCTTACATTGGGGGTCAGTGGGAAGAATGTCCCTACATTGGTGGTCAGTGGGAAGAATGTCCCCTTACATTGGTGATCAGTGGGAAGAATGTCTCTTACATTGGGGGTCAGTGGGAAGATGTCCCTTACATTGGAGGTCAGTGGGAAGAATGTCCCCTTACATTGGGAGGGTCAGTGGGAAGAATGTCCCTTACATTGGGGGTCAGTGGGAAGAATGTCCCTTACATTGGTGATCAGTGGAAGAATGTCCCTTACATTGGGGGTCAGTGGGAAGAATGTCCCTTACATTGGGGGTCAGTGGTGAAGAACGTCCCTTACATTGGTGGTCAGTGGGAAGAACGTCCCTTACATTGGGGGGTCAGTGGGAAGAACGTCCCTTACATTGGGGGTCAGTGGGGAGAATGTCCCTTACATTGGTGTCAGTGGGAAGAATGTCCCTTACATTGGGGATCAGTGGGAAGAATAGTCCCTTACATTGGGGGGGTCAGTGGGAAGAATGTCCCTTACATTGGGGTCAGGTCCGGGGAAGAATGTCCCTTACATTGGGGATCAGTGGGAAAGAATGTCCCTTTACATTGGGGGTCAGTGGGAAGAATGTCCCTTACATTGGTGGTCAGTGGGAAGAATGTCCCTTACATTGGGATCAGTGGGAAGAAATGCCCTTACATTGGGGGTCAGTGGGAAGAATGTCCCTTACATTGGTGTCAGTGGAAGAATGTCCCTTACATTGGGGATCATGGGAAAGAATGTCCCTTACATTGGGGGTCAGTGGGAAGAATGTCCCTTACATTGGGGGTCAGTGGGAAGAATGTCCCTTACATTGGTGATCAGTGGAAGAATGTCCCCTTACATTGGTGGTCAGCGGGAAGAATGCCCCTTACATTGGGGGTCAGTTGGGAAGAAAATGTCCCTTACATTGGGGGTCAGTGGGAAGAATAGTCCCTTACATTGGGTGTCAGAGGGAAGAATGTCCCTTTACATTTGGAGTCATTGGGAAGAATGTCCCTTACATTGGGGGTCAGTGGGAAGAATGTCCTTACATTGGGGGATCAGTGGGAAGAATGTCCCCTTACATTGGGGGTCAGTGGGAAGAATGTCCCTTACATTGGGGTCAGTGGGGAAGAATGTCCCTTACATTGGGGGTCAGTGGAAGAATGTCCCTTACATTGGGGGTCAGTGGGAAGAATGTCCCTTACATTGGGGGTCAGTGGGAAGAACGTCCCTTACATTGGTGTCAGTGGGAAGAACGTCCCTTACATTGGGGGTCAGTGGGAAAGAACGATCCCTTACATTGTGATCAGTGGGAAGAAGGTCCCTTTAACATTGGGGGGTCAGTGGAAGAATGTCCCTTACATTGGTGGTTCAGTGGAAGAATGTCCCTTACATTGGTGGTCAGTGGGAAGAATGTCCCTTACATTGGGGGTCAGTGGGAAGAAATGTCCCCTTACATTGGTGGTCAGTGGGGAAGAACTGTCCCTTACATTGGTGATCAGTGGGAAGAACGTCCCTTACATTGGGGGTCAGGGGGAAGAATGTCCCTTACAATTGGGTGTCAGTAGGGAAGAATGTCCCTTACATTTGGAGTCATTGGGAAAGAAATGTCCCTTACATTGGTGGTCAGTGGGGAAGAATGTCCCTTACATTGGTGGTCAGGGGAAGAATGTCCCTTACATTGGGTGTCAGAGGGAAGAATGTCCCTTACATTTGGAGTCATTGGGAAGATGTCCCTTACATTGGTGATCAGTGGGAAGAATGCCCCTTACATTGGGGGTCAGTGGGAAGAATGTCCCTTACATTGGGGGTCGGTGGAAGAAATGTCCCTTAACATTGGGGGTCAGTGGGAAGAATGTCCCTTACATCGGGGTCATGGGAAGAATGTCCCTTACATTGGGGGTCAGTGGAAAGAATGTCCCTTACATTGGTGGTCGGTGGGAAGAATGTCCCTTACATTGGGGGTCAGTGGCAAGAATGAGTCCCTACATTGGTGGTCGGTGAAGAATGTCCTTACATTTGGTGGTCAGTGGGAAGAATGTCCCTTGCATTGGTGGTCACTTGGGAAGAATGTCCCTTACATTGGGGGTCAGTTAGACGAATGCCCCTTACATTGGGGGTCAGTGGGAAGAATGTCCCTTACATTGGGGATCAGTGGAAGAATGTCCCTTACAATTGGGGGTCAGTGGGAAGAATGCCCTTACAATTGGTGGTCAGTGGGAAGAATTTGCCCCATACATTGGGGATCAGTGGGAAGAATGTCCCTACATTTGGGGGTCAGTGGGAAGAATGTCCCTTACATTCGGGGGTCAGTGGGAAAAGGTCCCTTACATTGGGGTCAGTGGGAAGAATGTCCCTTACATTGGTGGTCGGTGGGAAGAATGTCCCTTACATTGGGGGTCAGTGGGCAAGAATGTCCCTTACATTGTGAGGTTGGTCGGTGGGAAGAATGTCCTTACATTGGTGGTCAGTGGAAGAATGTCCCTTGCATTGGTGTCACTGGGAAGAATGTCCCTTACATTGGGGGTCAGGTTAGACGAATGCCCTACATTGGGGGTCAGTGGGAAGAATGTCCCTTACATTGGGGATCAGTGGGAAGAATGTCCCTTACATTGGGGTCAGTGGGAAGAATGTCCCTTACATTGGTGGTCAGTGGGAAGAATTTCCCTTACATTGGGGATCAGTGGGAAGAATGTCCCTTACATTGGGGGTCAGTGGGAAGAATGTCCCTTACATTGGGGGTCGGTGGGAAGAATGTCCCTTACATTGGGGGTCGGTGGGAAGAATGTCCCTTACATTGGGGGGTCAGTGGGAAGAATGTCCCTTACATTGGGGGTCAGTTTAGACGAATGCCCCACCTACAGACAGCAAACAGAAGAGAGAAGCTCAGCAGCTTTTTCTCTGCACGCTCTGTCCTGTCGGGCGGCTCCACCAACACTCTGTTCGTTCCGGAACTTTACAGGCGCCATCAGCCAGGAGATGGATCCACCACTACTCACGGCTCTAAGAACCCTCAGCAACCTCTGGAGGATCCTTGGCTTACAAAGGCCGTTCTAAGATGTTGAGAAAGACATTGAAGTCTTCTTCCAGAAAATATCCATTTTATATCTACTACAGGTGCCCTTTATATTAGAATACTTGGTGGATGGGATTGGCCGGTGGCAGAAGACTGGACTAGGTGTCATCAGAGCCAACTTTTTGGGCAATTCTTTCAGCCAGAATCCTCCCACACATCTACAGAACATAGGAATTCATCCTTTATTACCTCTCAGCTGCTACATTTGTGTTGCACAGATATGAATTACGTGCGCCAACAAAGCCGCGTTCCCACAGATCTGCAGCTCTAGGACAACGTTCCGTGTTCGGCAGAGGACAACATTCCGTGTTTGGCAGAGGACAACGTTCCGTGTTCGGCAGAGGACAACGTTCCGTGTTCGGCAGAGGACAACGTTCCGCGTTCGGCAGAGGACAACGTTCCGCGTTCGGCAGAGGACAACGTTCCGCGTTTGGCAGAGGACAACGTTCCGCGTTCGGCAGAGGACAACGTTCCGCGTTCGACAGAGGACAACGTTCCGTGTTCGGCAGAGGACAATGGCGCACAAAGGCCACGTGGCGAAGCGTGACATCTGGAATCAGTCACAATGCCTTTCGATGGTGAAAGTGGTCCATTGGGAGCCATAAACACATTCGAATACGATGAACCTTCGAACACGCACATTAATATTTCATAGAATTTGTCGTCTCTTTTACGAAATTTCAAGGAAAACTCTACTCTTACAGCAGATATAAACCCGAAACAAGCACAAAATACCCAAAACAAAAAAAAAAATGCAGAAGAGGCAAAAATAAAAAATAACCTCGTTGTGTTAGCAGCTACTTGACCGGGTGTCAGGACCCAGATCTGAACCTGCAACCTCTGCTGCAGCTGGTGACATCTCTTCTTGCTGAGCCACCTGAGATGCTGGACAGCTCCTCGGACAATTTCTTGAATGATATTACCTTGAACCTTGATTCTTTTGAACCTTGAACTCTTTGCTCCTCCCATGAACTTTCGATTTTACCAATGCCTCTGCACTTCCTGTTTACCAGATTACTGTGCTCTCCCCAGCCAATATCTCACTCTTGTCACGCCCGTTGTTATCTCCGCTGCAGCTCGTTACTGATCTTTGGTGTGTTCCTCAGCTACGCTTCTGCTTGATCCCAATCTGCAACCACTTGTTACGGACCTTTGGTGTGGTCCTTCGACTACGCTTCTGCTTGATCCCAACCTGCAATCACTGCGGTCCATTTACAAAAAGCAGCTCGCTTTGCGCATGTGTAGTAGGAAAGTAGGAAACCGGCTGTGAAGCTGCAAGGCTTCACTGCCAGTTTCCCTTAATTATTATTATTATTATACAGTATTTATAAAGCGCCGATAGTTGGCTCAGCGCTGTACATTACAAAGGGGGACAGAACATGTGACAGAACAATACCAATACAATGCAAAACATGAGGGGATTGAGGGCCCTGCTCCTTGGAGCTTACAATCTAGGAGGGAGGGGATGGTGACACAGGAAGAGATAGCTGTGGGGGATGGGGTGGTAGGAAGAGTGGAGGAGGTCGGCAAGTTAGCAGGGGGGGGGTAGGCTTCCCTGAAGAGATGGGTTTTCAGGGTGCGCCTAAAGGAGAGGAGAGTAGGTGATAATGTGATGGGTTGGGGCAGGGAGTTCCAGAGGATGGGTGACACGCTGGAGAAGTCCTGGAGGCGGGCATGGAAGGAGGAGACCAGGGAACTAGAGAGAAGGAGGTCTTGTGAGGAGCGGAGTGTGCGTGTTGGGTGGTACTTGGATATTAGGTCAGTGATGTAGTTCGGGGCAGTATGGTGGACGGCTTTGTACGTCAGCGTTAGGATTTTGAATTTGATCCGTTGCACAATCGGAAGCCAGTGGAGGGATTGGCAGAGGGGGGTGGAGGACACTGAGTGGAGGGATTGGCAGAGGGGGGTGGAGGACACTGAGTGGAGGCCAGTGGAGGGATTGGCAGAGGGGGGTGGAGGACACTGAGTGGAGGCCAGTGGAGGGATTGGCAGAGGGGGGTGGCGGAAACGGAGCCCAACCCCTCTCAACCCCCCA